AAAAAAAAACACTAAAAAGAAATGAAAACTCGAGCAGCACTACAGCAAGTTCTCATACAACATAACTTGGAGTTGCAATTGAATTTCCTCGCTGTTATAATTATAACGAAATTTGAAAGTCCAATTAGTTATTCAAGATGTTTTACAATGTCACTATATACTTCATATGCAAGAAGTGTGCTCTTATATGTGTGTAATAACATCGAGTTTGGCCTCTCCCTAGATAAATCAAGAACACTAAGTCATGATCTCAAGATCTTGCCCAAGATTCTTGTTTATTCTTTTCCTGAACACAGAATAACATGTCCAAACAGCCCACTTTCATTGTGCAATATTAAAAAACACATTGAGGCAACACAAGGAGATAACTTGTATAAGTTCTGGCACATATTGCTCTTACAACTATTGATCAAATTCAAAACACAGATTCTGATCTTAGTCCAAGGTGCATATGAGGACAAACCTTTGCAATATGTTTGAATTTAGGTATCGTGAAGTAGTGAAATCGAACAGATATCTAATACCCAAAATTGGGTCAATGCGAATGCAAATCACTGTAGGAAAGAAGACATACAACGGCGAAGGACGGGATGCGAGTGACGAGAATGAGGATCGCGAAGGACGGGCCAGAAGTAATAGCAATTGAGGGCCCAAAGGAAAGGAAGGCATAAGAATCCCAGCTTGAAGAACCTCCTGGCATAGGGTAGAGAGTCTTCGTGGCAGAGGCCGAGCGGCCCGTCAATAGTGGGCCATTCTAATCTTCGCCGGGATGAAAAGGCGTCGTTGGTGGTGGTGGTGGTGGTGGTGAGAGGAATGCTGGTGGCCGCGTCGGACGGAGGACTCGTAGAATCGCTGTCCATTTCATTTGGGGCGAAGGTACATGGAGAACAATGCTTATTAATTAGATAAAAAAAATTACATTGAATATAATTGGAATTGTACCCGTTAATTAGGATCATACGAGAATAATAGATAGTGAATGAAATAAAATTAAATTTAAATCATTATATACATCATATTGTGATTAAATATGTGCATTTATGATTTAACCATTAACTAATGGTGATATGTACATTTAATTCAATCCTAACCACATGTGAGCCCACCAGCCACCACTACCACATTAATTCCTCCACAGATTCGTACCAACCCACCTACCTCCTCTCTTATTCTTTTACACACACAAACACACACATTACAGAACACACACACACATGCACTGTGAAGTGCCGGATCGCCAAGAGCCGTTGCGCCCGCAACCAACTCGCCTCTCGACATCCCTGGCCTCTGCCGGACACAACCGCATCGCTCTCTATCTCACTGTTGGAATATGCATGTTTAATCCGATATTGTTCATGGCCTTAATTCTAGAATGAATTTTACTCGATCGCATGCATGATTAGCACTGTCAAACGGGCCAGTGGCCCGCGGGCTGGCCCGCCCGCCCGCTTAAACGGACGGGCTTGGGCCTTTGCTTGGCCAGCCCGTTCAATCGCGGGCCTCTTTGGCCCGCCCCGTTTGGCCCGCGGGCTGGGGCGAGTTGGCCCCTTTTTTTTTAAAAAAAAAAATAGTATTTTTTATTTTACTTCTAATTTCTAACTTGCACATGAAACATTTTTTTTACATAATAAAAATATTAATAAATCAAATAATATTTTATGTCAATTAAGTCGTTCCTGCGCGTGAATATCCTATAACTATTGATAAAAAAATAAAAATAAAAACTAAATGACAAATATTTAACATCATTACAATGAAATCTTACTAGTTTATTAATATACTAGTAAATATAAGGATAAACAAACCAAAAAATATATAAGAGTGCAAATACCATAAAAAAAAATAAACAAAACCCGCGGGCGGGCCACGGGCTATGTATTTTCCAGCCCATAGAAATGCGGGCCATTTTGGCCCGCCCCGTTTGGACCGCGGGCCAGCGCGGGCCAGACCGGCCCGTTTGACAGTGCTATGCATGATGGATTAAAGAGATATAGAGATAAAGATTAAAGTTGAGTAGCATCCTGCAGATTAAAGTTAAAGTATTTTCGAAAGATTAATAAGAGCTATCGAACATTAAATTCGTGTTTTCCTATTATAGTGCGAAAAATTTACTCTGATTTTAGTAAGCCTAGGCGGGGTGTTATATGTTGTCCGGTCCCAAACGACAGTTGGTACATGGACCGGTCCAGCTCTAGCAGCATCTCATGACGTAGTCGAGGACGACTCAGAGGCCGACGAACAACCCGATCACGACGATTATTAGCCTCCCCCGTCGATGGATGAGCACACGAGTGCGTTTTCCCAACAGACTCCCGTTTGGTTCTCTGAGTACCAGGCTCGAAATGATGATCGGCTGAGGTCAATCCATGGCGTCGTGATGTCACACAATGTGAGGCTCGAGTCAATACATCGAGCAAAATGATGCACGTTGGAAGGCTTTCGTTGAGTCCGATACTGAGTGTTGGACAAAGCAGACCAACCGATGGAACGAGTTCATCCGGACTAACAAGGAGCATTAGACGACTCATGATAGTCGATGGGATACCTGGGAAGCAAATCAATTTCAGCAATGGAACGAATGGGACAATCGTTTCGACCAATGGGATACCCGCTGGAGTTCGGGTAGCAGCCACCCTCCACCGCCATCACCGGGCGCACAGTGACTTGTCACTGTACTTTGTACGTTTTTTTTCTCTTTCTCTTTTGTGTTGTACATTTTTTTTTTTTTTGAGTCGGTTGATTATGTGGTACAACTCTTCTTTACTGAGGATCAACAATGGGGACATTATCTGATTTAAGTGTGGGGGAGTTTTTGCATGCTTATGTGGCTACTTGGTTGACCAGGTCTAGTTTTTGTTTTTAGGTTGTTTTGTTTCTTTCTCTTGCTTGGTGGACCGGTCTAATATTTAGGTTTTTGTGTTTTCTGAGTTTAGACTTTGGTGTATGATAAGAGTCAATAATGGTTAATTGAGATTGAGGAATTGTGATGATGAGCATAAGTGTCACATCCCGATGAAATGCTTGGTTGTTTTGATTGAGGAAAAATTAGAGATTTAGTCCTGTAAGTGGCACCCATTTGAGGTTTAGTCCTCTCCGATGACCACTTTTGGATCGTGTCCCGTAAGTGGCAAAAATCGTGATAAACGGTCCTGACACCGGCTAACGTGGGTAACTCTTACCGCTTGATGAGCTGGATTTTTCTTTCCATTTTTTTTTTTGTTTTTTTTATGCCACGTCGCCGAAGAGTTGGATTTTTCTTTTCATTTATTTTAATGCCACGTCGCCGAAGAGAGCTGGTTATATTGGAGGGAAAATCGACGAGACCTCATCCACGATCTGCTGCTCGAGAAAAACCTAGCAAAAATTGCAGATTTCATCCACGATCCAAATTCGGTAGTCACAAATTACCATGTCTTCGTCGGTCAGTAGCCAGAGGGTCTTTCCAAACTATCGCTGTGGGAAGAAAGCGAAGCTGTGGACCTCGTGGACTGATGCAAACCTGGGTAGGCGATTCAACGGGTGTGAAGATTGGGAGGTACTTGTTCGTTCCATTTTTGTCACGTTTTTCGTGTTTGTTTTACCTTTCTTTTTTCCCCCATTTTGGATCGTTTAGTCGAGTTTTAGTTTATTTATTGATCTATTTAGTGTTTTGTTTTATTTGGGTATTTCTCGTGTTTTTTCGGTCGTTCTCCGGTGGTTTGTCGTTTTTGGTGCCCAGCTATAGGTCTCGAGAGGATTTATTTCTCACGGTAAATGATCCGGGTGAACATCATTAAATGCAATGTCTCGTTGGCAATGCACAAGAATAATGGAAGCAAATTTGGTTTCCGAACACAATATGCAAAGTAGAGCAACACGCCCGAGCTACCAGGCCACCGCGCCGGGAATTCTTTCTCATGATAGCGCAACACCACCACGCGTCTGCCGCAGGTCCACCTTCACAATTCCATCTCCTTAGCGGCAGATTGAGGGCCCGATTTGCAGCAAACCGAGAGCCGAGAACCAAACTTTTCTTCATTTTTCATTCCCATTGGTGGGCAGCCGGTGACTCGTCTTCAGTAGCCGTTCAGTTTTCCTTTTCAGCGAACAGCCGGATTGTGAAATTTCAGTCAGGTTCCGCCCGTTCGACCTGCCATAGTCGATTGACCCTTCTGTCGGGAGTTCACACGGGCAGATTCAGCCCCTTAGAACAGCGAGCAGTCGGCCACACTTTTGGTAGCGAGCAGTCAACTTCACGCCGGGCAGCTGCTGACCACGACACCACTCCAGACTTCCGCGCCACCCTTCTCCCACCTTGTCGTGAGACAGCACCGCTGCAACCGGCCAGCCCTCACGGCGCACAAAACCACCACGGCGCGACACCTGTACCTAGCAGACCACCACCACTGCGCGGAGACCCTCTCCTTCACGGCACTTCACCTCCACCACGGCGCGGCGATCCTGCTGCTAATTTCCCGTCGCGCCCAGACTTCAAGGCCGCGGCCGCGACTCCTCCTTCACCGCGGCCGCGACGGCCAAATCCTCCCAGCTAGCCCCAAACTTCAGACACGAAAATTCGTGGCCTCGGCGAGGTTAGCGGCCGCGGGACTCTTCTTCACCGCGGCCCGTGAGATTTTCCGCGGCCGCGAGGTGCGCGATGACAGATTTTAAAGATCCGATGTATGCGAACTTGAAAAAAAGTTTTTGGACGCTTAGGTTTTATTTTGGGGGCTGGGGGCCTTTTGCAAAGGAAGAAAAACTTGTTCTTTTCAATTTTTCTTTGAATAATTCGGGACGGAGAACACAGATCGGAATTCGAATTTTGCTATTTCTTTCAGATTAATCTTGTTTACCGGGTTATTTCTCGATCTCTATTAATCGTAAGTTTTCTATACATTTAATCTATGAACATGATTGCTTTGATTATGGATGTTTGTGTTAATTATCCGATCATGAGTAGCTAAATTAATCTGCTAGGGAATATGGGATGATGTTTTGATTTCGTTTGTGCCTTTTCGGGCTTGAGATTGTTCAATTTGTACGAGTTGAGCTTTTGATAGGATTTTTGAATCATCATTTTTGAATATTGAGGATTATTGAAGGGTGACACTTCAATTTCCAATTGATTTCAATTGAGTTCGATTTATTCTTGTTTGTAGTTGTTAATTCTAAACGGGCTAGTTGATTAACCATCTTCTAGTCTAAGTTAATCGACTCTCAGAACCGAAAGGGGAGGAGTCGGTCGAAAAAAGCTCGTATGAACTAGGCTTGTTCGTAGTTGTATTGCCTAGGCGTTAGTTGAATTGTTAATTTGTCGTTTAAGCTTGTTCTCTTGTTACGAACAGTTATTGAGAATGAAAAATTGAACGATAGGTTATTCAAATCATTTAACCGAATAATCTCTTGCCCATCAATTGCATTTTCGGACCAAAACGGATATCCCCGACTCCCTAGCTCCTTTAATCCTATTTGTTCTTCGTCTTAGCTCGTTATTTTTACTGCCTCATTTAAATTTTCATGCTAGTAGATAATTAAATCAAACCCAATCATTTGAATTAGTATGTTTAGGTATTTTATTTCTTTTCGTGTTTGAATAATCGTACATTATATTCCGACTGACCTTCCTCGTGAGACACGACCCGGTGTCCGAATCTTTCGATTCTACTCCGGAAAATATTTACAACAGTACTCTTTGTTATTGTGTACTCAAGCTCGATGTTCTGCCGTTTATTTTCTTCTTCTTTCAAAATTCAAAAAAAAATATTATAAGTTAAACACAATTGTTGCCCTAATTCAGATTGGAGGCTGTTTTTTTTTGCTTGGGAAGATCCCCCAAGACCTCGACGTACTGTATATGTGATCCGGAACCTTCGTGAAGAGAAGGAGACTCTGATAAAACAAGTAGAGATTTTGGAGAATCAGAGGCGCAAATTGAAGATGTACTTAATGATTTCTTGGTGCTTAATTATTTTGTTCAAGTGTTTAGGATTTGTCTAATGAGTCAGACACATTGTTGTACTTGTATTTCGTTAAGATGTTTTGGATTTGTCTAAGCAAGTACTTGATGAAGCAATTTAAATTTAGGGATTTTAAGTACTTGTTGAAGTTCCATGTGTAAGGATCTGTTCTTGATCAATGCACTTGCCACATTGTTATCAATGCATCTTTAAGGATCAGTTTGTCTTGGATTTCCATCAGTGAGTTTGTTTCCAACCAAAGAAAAAAAAAAGTTATGGTTGATCAATGATGCTTATAATGTATTTGATTAGCCTACATACAACATCACAACCCAAATCTACAACATCAAAGATAGAACCATTACAGCAT